AACATATAACATATTTTATTAGTTTTGCTAACATTCTCTGTTTGTTTGCATATATTTTCAAAGCTAGAATAAATTTTTATAATTTTGGTAAACATTTTAAAACAAACATTAAATTTTAAAATCTATTTTTAGCTTATTTTGTAACTTATTTTGCAAAAACACTGGGTTTCTTAAAAACACTTATTAATAAAATTTGTTATTTCAATATATTTTATTAATAACAACACTAAATATCTTCCGTTCACTAAAGAGTCCATTCATACTAATGTAAAAATACAGAAAAAAATTTGGTCATTTAGTGCATGTATTTTTGTGATACAAATATTTATCATTATTACAAGTCATTCATCTATTGTTATATCGCGTTAAACGTATGGAAAGGTGTAAATATTCATTATATTTATGTGCAAAATAAATGTTATCATTGGTTATAATTACGACAAACAAATGATTTGAACCACATTTGGATTTTTCTCTCGACAAATAATTATTCAGTGCTTAAAACACTGAGAAAACTCTCTGAAAGTAGTTTTCTATTGATATCCCATTTTATAACGGCCCAAAACTGTCAGTCAGCGAATAGCATTCATAAATAATTCTGTATTTTTACAACATAGCTTTGTCATAAACAGCTAGTCTACAAAGCGAGTTTCATTCCTTCAAAACAGTGGTTTATATATGCTGTAAAAAAGGTTTTATGTTATTTGCTTATTTAAACAAAAAAAAACAAATAAAAATTGTTAATATTTTTTCTGTTTATATAATTGATAAAAATAATTAATTGAATTAAAGCTTTTTATCCACTTTTTAAATAAACCTTGAATTTTAATTTTTAGTTTTTCTCCGCCGATTGTGTGCTCTGTTTTATATCTAAATTTTACGGATTTATTCAAATTTGTTGCTATAGTTTAGGAATTTATATTGTTTTCATAAAATTAAAAACATGGTATTAATTATAACACATGTTTTGTTGCATTTTATTTACTTTTACTGCGAGCAGACATTTGGCCGAATAAATCCGATGTCAAATTTGTGACAAAAATTGATTATCTGCTGTTTTTATGGGATTTTGTTTTGCATTTGTGTCTGAATTATAACACTATTGTGTGGACACAGAATCAGACAAATGATGAAAATAGTTTGTTAAACCCATGCATTAGATTATATTATAATTTATTCTTTCAATCGATTTTATACACCATAAGTACAAATGTATGATACGATTGTACACTATTGGCATGCAGTGACCTCCTTATCGGTTATCCATTATTGTCAATGAATTGCATTTTCTTTCCATAAATTTAAATAAAAATATTAAATGATTTTTAGAATTATAAGAAATTATGTTTTGGGAAATAAATTTGTAAATTACATAAAAGTACATAAAATAATTGCAGCAAATTGTGTGGTATTTATAGTAATGCTCCCATTCCTGAAAATTGCATTAAGAATTGGGTTTACATTTAATGGTATAAGAATTTCATTTAAAAAAAGCAAAACTAGACGTTTCCTTACATTAGTGGAGATCAAGAATATTAAATGACTGATAAAAATGAATAAATTTCAATTAACACAAACATTGAATTCATTATTCAAATGATTACTTATTTACTTATATTAATATAAATTTCAAGTCTAAAGATAAATATGAATAAAAATACAACTAAAAAACAGACGAAAAGATAAAGGCATTTAAAGATGGATTATAAGTGCCGTCAATACTGAATACTGTTTTCCTTATGTATGTTTAATTCACAGGAATCTCAAGGCTGTGAAGCCATTAAATGTGTTCAAACATTATCCTAATTGTATCCAAGACTTCCTTCTTGAGCCTAATATCTGTGCTAAATATAAATATATCCAAATTGAACGCCAATTACACTTAAAATTGGATTTAATTTTTTTTAAACGGAACGATAATTGATAATAATTTTATATAGTTATTAAAATTAATAGTTACTGTGTATGACTTCAATGATCACATGTCGATAAGAGTGTTAAATATAGATAATGGGAGAGAAATGTTGTTAAAAAAGCTTTAAATTTATATAAAAATGACATCAAATTACTTAAAACTGAAGCAATTCCTACGAAATCAATGCAATGTTATTGCGTTCGCAAATCTGCATAAAAAACGAGTCCTTAAGTATCAGTGCCTTTGGTATTGATTGCAAAAAAGGTAATTTTAAAGTAAAAATCGTTAACACAAACAAAAATATCATAATTAATAGTCTCCGACATAAGACATTACGTCCAAAGTTATTATGTGTGAAAAATATTTGTGTTTTTTCGCTATTAATCTGATTAAATGCCAACAAAACTCTAGTATTGATTACAAGGACTGAACCGAAAATTGAAAAATTTGTTATGTTGTGGAGAGAGTGAGAGAGAGTGTGTGCAGTAGTTGCGAGAGAATCACTATTTGTCTCTTGTTTTTATTTATGCTTTTATTTTCTATATATAAAAGAAGGCAAAAAGGATTTGGTTTTAGGAGAAGAAACTTAGAGATAGAGAGACAGAGAGTGTGTTATGTTTTGTGAGCACATCTCGACGTTTTTTCCTCTAATGAATCGCTAGTGAATTGAAAACTTCTTTTTTATTTCATTTTGATGTGAATTTTTAGTTCCGTATTATTAATGAAGTGTTAGTTGTATTATTCAAATGGTTTCTCTCTATGTTATGCTAATATTGTGTTTTAGTTAACAATAATATGCTGTTAATTGTGTTGTTATTATAAATATTGTGCAAAATTTAAGGACAACTTGTGTGATATGAAAATCTTATATTTAATTTATTTTTGGTAATTAGAGATACGAAATGAGACATTGAATTATTTGATGATTTATATTGAAAATGATATCTTAATGAGAAATTGTACGAAAAAGTTGATGAAAATTTCATCTGATATTTGAGTCTTTTGTTCCACTTTTGGAGAGATTTAAAGAGTGATATAATTAGTAAATTATATATTAATAACTTGTATAAGAGATTATTTAAACTATAATTGACTCTTAGCTTAAGTGTTTGGCTTCACTCGACGATAACGTTTAGATAAATAAAATGTTTATTATTTACTAAACTATTCGAAGAATAAAAGTAATGATTGATATATTTATTATTGAATATTCAATGAAAATATTATCTATGAGAGAGAGAGAGAGACGTAACTTTCATTGAACTGATGAACTGAAAAATGTAGTTCACTATTGAGACGAGTATTGAATTTTGTAGACATATTTATCAAAAAATTGTTGTTAAATAAACGATTTTATTCAGGAATAGTAATCTAAATTCGATCTCATATTTCAGATAATGATTTTCAAAAGTGTCAAAAAAATCAAACACTAAATGCTCTCAATTTTTATAATCCTTGACATTTGTACACAAACTCATGTGTGATTTTTTCCACTTTCTCTAATCGAAACAAATTTTTTGTTTCTTTTTCTCGTTCAGTGAATCTGAAGCCAAATGTAATGAGTATTGCATTACATTTTGTATGATTTACTTATTATGAATCGATGCAAATTCATGAATATTAATGTGGAAAACACTTTAAATAGCATTGAAAAATGAATTAATGTTATTTCTAGATATACTGCTATTTACATATCGTATGTATAATATTATTCTCATATCTATAAATACTACTGCTTTTAATAATTAAGTAAATGACTTGTTATTTATGAATCTAGTGTTAGAATAAATATACTGTAATTCTGTGTTATAAATTGTTAGCAAAATATACCTTTTTTCATAGGCTTTTGTCTTAAAATATCATTGACTTTCTGCCAATTCGTTCACTTATTTTTTTACTAGTCTTCAATTCATAAGACTCTTTGACTTCAATTGTTTCCTTTAAGAGTTCAATCACTACAGACATTGCTGTCTATCTGTCTCTATGTGTTTATATCTATGAATTTGCATTTATTATAACTTTTATTTTGATTCAATTCTAGATTTAATAATAATAAGTGATATTTTGGTGGAAATCGTGTGACCGAAGGCGAAGAATGTCGATCTCGAGCCATAAGAAAGTATTGATTCTGTTGTGCGGTTTAATAGAGAATCTGATATTCAGCGGCACTCTGTTTGGATGGCCGGCGCTCTTCTATATGTTGAAAAGCGAAGGCATTTACGAACACTTGTGTCACACCATTGAGAGCCAACACTACACGTCCGCCCAAAACAACAATCTCTTTGAAAACCTAACCCTCTCTCAAGACTTGATCAATGAAATCGATTCAAACGCCACCGAAGTTAAAAAGTTCTCACATTTCCCAGACTTACCAGTGATTAACGCAACCATATATAACGACATTCAAGTAAGCCTTCAAACGCTGGCTTTTTATTGATTATATTTATAAAACAGTTTTTTTATTACTCTGAAAAGTATAGAAAATTTGAGATAAATATATTAATAAGTGTTTCAAATAATGCATTTCTCATTAAAATTAAAGAGCAATAAAATCGATTTGTTTGCGTAAGTCATTCAAAACTTTTTCAATGGTTATTACATAAATTGAAATAAAGGAAATTCAATATCATTTTAAAGTCATTTCTTGTAAAATGAAAGTTTCTTTTTCAGACATAATATAGAAATCAGATGTTTTTGATTCATTGAAGCGATAAATTCATCTCATATTTTAGATGACTTTAATGTTCGCTCTATTTATTGCATACAATTCTTTGCCATCATTTCTCTTCTTTGCTATCTTTTTGCTATTTTAGCCCTATTTTTGGGATACATTATTAATAATAGTTTTATAGTTTTATTAAATTTAGTTTTAATTAATTAATCTAATAATAAATAAGATTGACAAACAAATGAAATACCATCGTTATTTATAATTTATCACTGAAACAAACATAATAATAATATTGGTTTTTCTCCATACAATGTAGTTTTATTGAATAACTTATTTATTTAATTCTTAACCTACTATTAGATAACACAGGACTGTTCAGCGCAGGAGAATATCTTAAACCTGACGTACACTATAGGCATCTTCGCCATGGGATTCACGTCCTTTATATGGGGTTTCCTTCTGGAGTCGTGGGGTCTAAGGATTGTTAGGATATTATTAAAGTAAGAATACATTACATAATATGGACTATATTTTTACAAAGCAATCTTTCCCTAGCATTTTGATCACCGGTGGAAGTGTTTTGCTTTGTCTCACGAGCAGAGGTTTGTCCAACAGTTGTATATAAATTGAACACATTTTTTGACATTGTTTTTCATTTCCAGAGAGATCTTATCTAATATTTCCGGCGATAATATTGTTAGCGTTGGCCGGAGTGCCACTTCGTATCGCAAACATGCAGATCGCCGACTACTTCCCATCCAAGAGGTCAACAGTGATTACGTTCTTCAGCGGCGCGTTTAGCGCCTCTCCCATTGTGTTTGTAGTATTGAAGTATATCTACGACTCCGGCGTCTTCTCCTTCTTGACTGTGATATTAGTTTTAGTGATTTTGAGTCTATTTATGTTTCCATTCACTTACTTCTTACTGCCGGCCATTAGTGTCAAACATGACGATCACATTAAGAATAACATTGAACTTCAGACCATAGAAAAGGATAGTTTAGGAAAACTCGCGAAAGAGACAAATGGAAAAACTTTGAACGGATTTAATGGTAAAAGTTATGACAATAACGGAAATGGGATGAAAGGGGACGGCGAGGACGAGGTGTTTATTAAGCCGGATAGCAAACGGGTGCCGATAGTGATGGACAGTAACGACTCGGTGCCGCTGAATGTGTCCCTCTGGTCGCTGGCATTTATGTTGCATCAGTTGTGGTTCTCGTGGCTCAACACATATATGGTATTATATTCCGGTTCAATGAACCTATGGTTAGATCGGGTCACGTCCGACACCGTCATCGCCGGTGACTTTACCGAGACATTTGGTATGGTTCAGGTGAGCGCTCTCATCATCGCTCCCATCGCCGGCCTCTTTATGGACCGTAACATCAATCGCGCCAATAAAGGCACCGATCCTTTTGAAAACAAGTTAAGTCGAGCTCAGTCTGGATTTCTACCCATTTTGGTGACTACTATTGTGCTCACCATTTCGGTTGTCTGTCGTTTCTTCAACACTGTTGGCGCCGTTTACAGCTCTATTGTCTTCATTACGCTCTTGCGATCATTCTTAGTGGCCGTCGCCTCAGCCTATCTTAGGATCAGGTAATCATCCATTCATTTATAGTCTATAGATTTTAATTTTATGCAATTTATAATGAATTAATTATATTGAATTCAATCTCAGATTTAATGGCAATCACTTCAATCGTCTCAATGGCATAATGTGTACGACTAGTGCTGTCTTCTCTTTACTGCAGTTTCCGCTATTCATATGGGAATCTCATTCACATATTCATGCCTTTTGGGTAATATATTATTGATAACATTACTAATCACTTACTAAACAGACTAATAATTTATATTTAACTAATGTATGCAATATTTATTTGGTAATTAATTTCAGGTGAATATGTTTTGCGTGGTTTTTACAGTAATCTCGTTTACAAACCCCTTGTATTTGATTATAACTCCGTTTCAAAAATATTTGCTGAAAAGAGAGGAAGAAATGGAAACCAAATCTCGAGTTAACTGATGAGTGAATTGCTGTCGAGAGAAATGTTTGATGTCTATAAATAAGTTGCGGCACTTGTTGTTGAGTCCAACTCTAAAAATTAATTGTAAACGTGGTGTCTATTAAATTAACGATTATATAAATATACATATACTGTATTTGGTGTTTAATATAAATATGATTTTGTGTGACTGTTATGTTGCCATCAAAACGAGTCTTTCAGACATTATTGCATTTAATCTGATTTTATTGTCTTTTAAATACATATACTTTTATCGATATTATTTAAATTAATAAACAATTATTTTTGAATATTAGTGTATAAATCAATTAATCATTTATTTAACATTATTTTTACGCAATAATTAGTAATTTACAATATATTTAATTTTATTATAGAAATTAGGGATAATTTATAAATAGGCGGTAAAATGTAACAAATTATATGACAATTAATTAAAACTTATTTAATATGAATCGTAAAATATATAATGATCTAAATGTTAAGGAAATTTATGTTCATATCTTTAGTGATCACCGCTTATTTCAAACAATGAATTTTGATTTTGAATGCATTTCTTTACGTCTGAGTTCTTGTTTTGTTGCAATTCTTGAGCCTCTTTTGTGATCAGAATCTGATTCTCAAGTTTCAAAGCACTCAATTGGTTACACTTTTTGGACATTACTTTTGATATGTATCTTAATTTGTCTTCAATCTTAAGATTGTCTTCAGTCAGTGGCTCACCATTTGGGTCGTCGACTGAGACTTCGTTGCAGAATTGGTTGACATGAGCCGCAAACTCATCGTAGTTTCTGACAATCAAACTCAACGATGTCTTTGTTTTTGTGATGATCGCCAGACAGTCATCGACGGTCAGTCCGGTGGCGATATGCGTTTCGTCAGACAATTTAGTCAAATGTGTGACAAACTTATTGATTATTTGCAATATTTCACAAGAATTTGTTTTGTATGTATTGAACGAAGAGTTTGGTTCGCTGTCATCAGCAAAGTTTGATTCAATCCAATCGACAATGTCTTCGATATTATCACACATTTTAAGCAATAAATAAAAATTCGTTTGAGATATGGATTTGAATGTTGAATAACATTGAATTGAAATTAATTATTGCATTCATTTAATAATAAAATGCAAAATTTCACGCCTTTTGAATACAAATGTCAACATTTAAAAAGTATTCATTTAATTATCAATAAAAACATTATTTCAATCCTCAAAACGGTTTTAAAATTCAAATCAAATCCATTCCCAAAAGTACTGAAGAAATGAAACAAAAAGTTTCGAAACAAACAAAGAGCGGACCAATGAATTCATTGTCCACCACTGGAAGTGATGTCTTATGCGATGACATATTGGGACTCATATTAAGTCAGTTATCAATCAAAGAGTTGTCTCGTTTGCAACGAGTGTCACAACAGTTCCGCGATTGCACTCAACAAACGCTTCAGAGGAGACAATCGCTGGCCATTGGATTCGACAAACGTTCCTATATTAAAGACCTTCACGTCAGACACATCACTCGCTCTATTAATCTGAAGGCCATTGAAATCAGTGACGGGTTTAGCGGCAAAGACAGCGAACACAACGGCCCAGTGCTCAAGAAGTTACCACAAGTTAAGAGATTATACATTCGACGCATTAGAATCAGATTTGAGACAATGAAAGACATTGTCAAACATTTGCCACAACTTCGGGAGATTTGCTTCTTTGAGTTCCCTTTCTTTGCCAACGATATGAAGAGATATACAGCGAGACAATGGGCAGAACTGTTGGAAAATGTCAGACATATAACAATTGGTTATATCGCTAAGAAATACGTGACATATATGACAAATATCATACGAGAGATGACATCTCTTCAAAGTCTTGACATTTATTACATGTCCATCTCATCGGATCTACTCGTCGATTGTCTGTCGCCAAACATCCGGTCACTGAAACTAATGAGGGATACGTTTGACACGCAATCCATCGACAGTCTGACCACAAAATGCCATCAAATACAAGAACTGTCACTCATTTCTCCCATTGAGAGGCACTACAATATCTTTGTAGACAATGGATTTGACGAACGCTTTGGCATTATCTGCGACCATCTGAAGAATCTCGAGAGTCTGACCATTCAATTGGCATCGATTCCGGACCAAGAATTCGCTGAAAAAATTGCAAAGTTAGCAAATTTAAGACATTTGGCAATACTTTCGCACTCAACTGATTCTATGCATTTGGACACCACTTCAATGACACCATTGACTAGTCTTCGGTCACTCAGTCTTTATCCCATTCAGTGCTCACCAGAAATGTGGTCACAATTGGCGAAAGTAGTGCCAAATTTGCGCCAATTATATCTCGAAGACATCGATTGTCACGTCGATTGCGGTCATTCAATAGATCCCGAAGAAGAGTGTTTCATGGAATGCTGTCAAAGATTTATGACTTCAGTGACAAATCACCCAAAACTCAAAGCACTGACATTCGGGAGTATTTACGAAGAGGACGTCTTGAGAGCCATACATCTGTGCAAACGCTTGGATCAACTCTGCATTCATTCTATTTTAGTGAAACTCCAGTTGATATATGAGTTCATAACCGAGACTCTGGCCGATCGGCACCGAGTGTTCCGATTGGGTCTTCTGCGCTACAAAAGGGATGACCTCTTGAGACGGATGACCGAAATGTCTGTTCAAATGCCGAGATATTTACGGATCAATAGCTGCAAAATGATTGGCCACCATATGTCCCGTTCTTAAGCCATTAAATTCACATCTCTTTCCGTTTATGTTATCTATTTTTGTGGCATTAAATTGTATTTAAAATTATAGTTTATTTTCTGAATCAAAATTTACTGAAAACTAAATAAATGAAAGTTTAAATCAAAATTCAACTTAAAGTTTACATAATGTTTAGTTTGAATCAATACTTATCTCAATGTGATTGCAATTCTACCCAAATTATAATTAAACTATTATTAATATTATTAATATTCTAGAGATCATTGAATACCTTTCAGACAATTAGTCAATAAAATGAAGTAATAAATGTCTTAAAAGTTATTCAAAAGATATTTTTGAATAAAAAATAATTCATTATTATTTTCAATTTTATCGCAAATTACAAACAAAATTCAATGCAAAACATTTTATTTTTATTGTGAAATTTAGCAAAAATATTTTGATAGAAATTTCCAAATTTATAATCAATTATCAGAAAAATATAATAACAGTTAGGGTTATCTGCGATACACATAAATACTAATGATATTTTATAATCGCTTTTAATTTATTAAAACAAAATATTTAATTAATGATTTATTTTATCGCAAAAATCGCATAATTATAGTGTTATCCGTATTTGGAGAGTATTTTTTAGAAAGTTAATTTTGTGTAAAATACTTTAAAAAATTAATGGGTTGAAATATATTTTTAAAATCACTGTATTAATATTGACAACAATTAATACGAATACAAACTAATAAATTATTAGCAATAATAAACTTAAAGGCAATGCAAACCTTAAACCGTAAATCGATAAATAGTTTTAAATTTGTAATTTGAATTCAACTGTCATTTCATAAAATCTTATCGATATTTCTGTTAACCACTCATTGATATCATATAAATTGAAAATGAATTTAACGATAGATACACCAGAAAATGCAACTAATAATCCTAATCCCTATTCGGATGAAGAAATTTGTAGAATCGCTTCTGCGGTCACATTAGTGGCGTATGCGGTGTCTGTCGTGTGTCTGTATTTGTGGCACACGCTTCTCAAGAAAGCCAGTTATTACACATTGTATGACAATTGCGATGAAACCACTGGCAAAGAGCGCTATTCACTGACCATAGAGTACGGAAAGCCGTCGTCGAGTTTAGACATAAACGCCAGCCGTTTGGAGATTACATTCTGGACAACAGACAAGAACCGTTTCATAGGTTTGGTGACCATTAATACCATCGATCTGTACTCAGAGGTCCAATCAGTCGGTGCCGATGAGTACACAAGTATGACATTCCGGTTATATCGCGTCCAGTCGTTGCCCAAAGAGTACACACTTCGGCTTGAATTGGCGACCGATGTGCAGACAGATCCCGACATTGATCTCCAGATTTTTGTGAAAAGAATTCAAATCTCCGATTTAGAGACCAAGTCTTTTCGCTTCACTCGTGTGGGCGGATTAGTTCGCACTGTCACCCCATTAGACACCTCACTTATGCCACATTACCCGATGTCTCTCCAAAACATAACCAAACGGCCGAACAGAAGGCAAATCGCGTTTTACGAAATCCTTTCTATGGAAATATTAACTTTCATTTTGCCGGGAATTGCTTACAATATCTTCTACTCAAGACATGTCCCTCTGAATGAAGGAATATGGGTGAAGACAGCGGTGTCAGCATTACTCTCAACGGCTTTAGTCATCTGTGGCCTAATACTGTTAAAGTGGTCGCTTCTCAACACTTATAAACACAGACATCAAAAGTGCATCAAAGTTGTTGTCTATTCAATGATTGTAGGCTTATGTATGGCTCTAATGGTTGTCACCAATTTGGCCAATTCTATCACCCATCATAA